TCTGCTCAGAAGCATCAGGGGTTCAAAAAATGTGTAGGTGTGGCACTTCAGGCCATGGTTTAGCAGGTATGGGGGTGATGGGTTGACGGCTGGATCTGATGATCTTAGAGGTCTTCTCCAACCTTAATGATTCTGTGATTCTATGATCTCTGCTGGGAAGGGAAGGCGAGCACCCAGCCGTGCACAGCCCCGCTCAGCAGCATCTCTGCAGGCCAGGCGCGGGCTGTTCCGCCCATCAGGACCCAGGCTTGACCTTGCAGCTGAGCACCATCAGGATGCTCTCACTTCCACTTGTTTGAATATTTAATTCGAGGCGGGCCCGGTGAACGGAACCGGCGCTCGCTACAGCCACGAGGCACAGCCTGCTAGGTGTGGGTATCTGGTTCTCTCAAGTGAAAAACCAGTACGTAGGGGCGTAGCGTGATGGCCAGGCACCTGGGGCTAGCTCAGGGTCAAGGCCCTGTGACACTGCCCTAACAGAATCACACAATCACAGACTGGTCGGGGCTGGAAGGGCCCTCTGTGGGTCACCCAGCCCAACCCCCTGCCCAAGCAGGGTCACCCAGAGCAGGCTGCACAGGACCTTGTCCAGGTGGGGCTGGAATATCTCCCGAGGAGGAGACTCCACAGCCTCCCTGGGCAGCCTGGGCCAGTGCCCCAAGCTCAGCAGTGTTCACAGCGTCGGGACATGCGGGTGGATTTCTCTTACGAACCCACTTGAACATGAATTTGCTTCTTGAGTGCGAATCTGAGGAGAGGAAGGACAAGCCCCAGCAACGGAGCGCGTCTGTGTGTCCGCCTGCCGCAGCAGCTATCAAACCGCCTGCGCTCTGCATCGCACGGCTGAAACGTGCGCTGCAGCTTCTTTTGTTGTTCTTTCTTTCATCTTTTCACTTCAAATAATGAAAGGAATCTGGAGTTCAGCTACTACAGATCCCTTCTGCGCTGATAGTCTCCCCCTCACTTCTCCCCTTCCCTTGTCCTCCCACACAATCTGCGGCAAACTGACACTGATGATCTCCTCTCCTTCCCATGGATGAAAAACTCCCTGTCATTCGCAGACGCCAAGGGCTGACAGCGTCTCACTTCTGTCACCTGAGAACCAGGCTGCGGCACGGTATGTGCTCACCTCGTTATCGCGCAGCTTCGTTCCGAAAAACACGAGGGGACACGCTACCCAAGGTTTTCAGGTGTACGAGCCAAACATCAACCATAGCCACTGCCAGCGAGCAGCAATTTCTTCTTGGAGTCCCACCACTGAACCCTGGGGGGATGTGTGCAGCTACCAGCAAGCCCAGAGATACAGTGGGACCTCCCTCCTTCTCCCCCAGTATCTCTGAGGGCTCATTGAGGGGGGTAAATGTGAATATTTGTTCCTTCATTTTTGTAGAGAAGGGGGGGAATTGCCTGGAGAAGTGACGTCCATCTCTTCAGCAGGGTGTAGCTACCTCCTTCGCAGAGCTTCTCCTTGCTCGGTACGGCGCGGAGGGGCTACCCCTCCGACGGCAGCCGAGGAGCCCGGAGCTCCCCAACCGCTCCGTGGGGGAGCGGAAAGTGGGAAAAAAAGCCCAAAGGTAATTTCTTGCCTGCTCTGGGTGACCCTGCTTCGGGCAGGGGGTTGGACTGGGTGACCCACAGAGGTCCCTGCCAACCCCGACCATGCTGTGATTCTTCCTTTGAAAGGAGGATACTTCTCACGAGGTTAGGGGAGCTACTCGCCACCGTCCAAAACCAAACCATGCGTAGGAACGCAGTGTTCCTCCGTGCTCCTCCACGAGAAGATTTGTCGCTCTCACGCAGAGCGGTGCTGTGGATGGAAGCGCGTGGCTCCTGCTCCACATTTCACTGCCGCCATTGGCCTCCAGCCCAAACCACCGCAGAAGTACTCACCGTGTTCTGTTCAGCTTTCCGGTTACTTTCCTCAGTTCTTTATTTTTTCCCCCCAACACGTCTCTCCGTTTCTCCGAGAGTCCATAATTAGTACGAATGTCAGTGCTTGGTCCACGAGGGACTTGGGGGGCCGGTGTTCCCCCCATTGCCTGAACACCACAAACCAAGCTCCGTTAAACCCTGGCTCGAGTTCGACAGGCGCCTGGCTTTTTGAAAAGAGAATAATCCCAAACAGGTGGCACACATCCACAGCTACAGCGCAGAAATCCAGGTAAATCCAGCAAACTCGTAAACTATTTTTTACAGGAGAGGCTTGCACAACTGCTTCTTTTCTTCTTTCTCCTCCTCCTCCTCCCCCGAAGCCCCCTCGCCTCTCGCACAGCACATTGGGACAAAGGGCAAGATGCGGTAAAAGCTTAAAATTCTTTCGGAATCTGCCTCGGAGGGTGACCTGCTGCTGGGGTTAAGCCAAAGCAAAGCAACACCAGATCCCACGTCACCGCCGTCGAGCCTCAAGTCCCTGCAGAAAGCCGGTCAGAAGCCTCCCCACATAGCTCTCCGCCACCCCGCGCGTTAACCCCCTGCTCATCTTTCAGGGCGTATTAATACGTTCTGGGTGTGGAGTAACTCGTCCCAAGCAAGGCTTTCGACACAGTCTCCCATGATATCCTCCTAGGGAAGCTCAGGAAGTGTGGGCTGGATGAGTGGTCGGTGAAGTGGATTGAGAACTGGCTGAATGGCAGAACTCAGAGGGTTGTCATCAGCGGCGCTGA